GCAAGTCCAACCGACTACGGGCTACTTCACGCGCAAGTCGCTCCGTATGACACACAGTGAATGTCATCTTACACGACTGTCAGGCTGTCGTCAGGCCATGTGTCCAGTAACCAGTATCTTACTACAGAGGCTGCAAGCCGCCTGTGCTTTAGGCTGGAACTTGCGATTGTGCACCCAAGGGTTAATAAAAATGCCCCTGGCATCGTCATTATCAACAACATTATTGTCAACACCCGGCTGCGTTTGCATGTGCATCCTCCTTCCAGTTTTTCGTCCTAGGATGACCTCAATTACCGACCAACCGCAAAGGATCGCTCTCTTTAGAGTAGAAGAGTCATGAAAATCGGGTCGAATATCGACGCTATTTTGTGCAGTATTCGAAATCATTCACCTATAGCCAATCTCCCCAGCCATGTTCGAAAATCCGGAAATATACTACATTTTTAGAAGTGAATGTCTGTTTTGCCGACAAGGGCAGGAGGCGCTGGAATGGCCGTTTCTGGCTTTCTTGTCATCGTCAAACGAGGTCCAACTCCTGAGGTAGTTGATCAGCTAAATCGTTGCACTGACGGACTCGCGTCGTGTCGGCTGAGATTGGGAGTATTTACTTCCATGGCAGTGGCTGCATCTCCCAATATTCTAGTCCAGGTCGGTTAATTATCAAGCAACGTACTCACCACTGCGTTAACGGACTCACATTCTGTCGACTGAGATCAGAATTACTGCCTCACATGAAGGAGGCTTTTACTCATGTTGCTCATCGATTTGCGGGTCTTAAAATAGACCCGCCCGCGCTAACATGGTTGCGAGAAGGTACCGAGAAAGCAGCGGAACCCAGGCCCGAATAGAACGTTTTCCCCCGATTGTTGTTGATGATGATGATGGTGGTGGTGGTGGTGGTGATGGTGGTGGTGGTGTTGGTGGTGGTGGTGGTGCGGTGGTGGTGGTGGTGGTGGTGCGGTGGTGGTGATTGAGGCGGTAATGGTGATATGGTTGGGCAGGACGACCAATAAACCAAGGATTACCATTCCACTTCCTGTTAACCTTTTCAGCAGATTTCACAATCGTTTGCTTATTGCTACGCCTCTGTACGCAAGAGATTTAGAACGGAAACTTAAGAGAAGCCGGTAATCCAGTATTCTCTCCCTCCACCAGTCCAGACTGGTGACGGCCACTCGTATCTGACCTTGAGCACGCACTATCGCTGGTGGCTGACCTTGGTCCGTGCCTTATTTGAATCTAGGAAACAAATATACTCATTTCTCAAATTGGATGTGATTATAGCCTATGGTCCGTGACAGCGTACTTGTGACGGTAGATATGTGAGAGAAAGGGCGATTCCAGTGTTTATTGTATTAGTATGTAACTCTGTATCAGTGCCCTCTACCAAGAGTATTATTGGCAATTAACGGTGTTTTTGCAGTTCCCAGAAATCACTGCGAAATATGACACGTACGACGTCTTCGGAATTTTTGGTTGATTAGCGTTGGGTTTGGGTATAGTTGACTTCACTGTTTTTGAACGCCTTAAATGCTGTTTGCGTAATGACCGTATTATATAAATTCTGTCATTGTTATACAGCATGAAGGCGCGCGAACTGGATAGCGGGCCTTCATTTTGAGATATACGAAATTTTCATCGCAAAAAATCCGTACATCAGGGCAAGTAGAAGGGGGCACTGCAATTACTGTTAAAATTGATGAGTAACGCAAGACTTTAACTCCCTCCTGGAACGTACCAGTGTATTCGATATGTGGCATCATTGATGAACGCGGACAAACAGCCAAAAAATTTAAATTTCGGCTGACTAATCAAGATAAGTCCATGAGTTGAAGTCAGGTCAATTTAAAATGTCCGGTTAATCGGCATTCATTGGCGTATGTATTTTAATTAGAAAAGTGGGCCTATTAAATTCAAATTCATGGTGCCACTGATAAAGTGCATGACTGTTAATCAGAATGTCCTGAAAGCACTTAGTATTTCAACTTTGGCGGATCGCAGTAGAGAAAAGCTGCAGCTTAAACGAATCTTCCCTACTTTGCCAAGCCTAACCCCGAGCCGTTATTATAGCCAAATTCCGTCAACTGAAAACTCGTAATTGTAAAATATTGAAAGCGGGGAGCCCACACGGCCGAAAAAATACGCATAATAATGTACAAGTAGCCGCAAGTTCCCTGCTTCTCGTAGCTGTGTGGAGGGGTTGCCGCTCCCTCCGAAGGCCACCAATCGTCTTGCAGAACAGTAAATCCGAACGTACGCTTAATTCTGATTGGCCAGAACTCACACTTCCGCCCAGCCTGAGTTGGCAGGACTGCGCACGTGACTCCGATTGGCTCTTTGTCGTAAACTGCACGTGCTAGTCGCCGCTCTTTCTTACTCTGCTCGCACATACGGTTTACCGAATAGAGCGGAGCCGCAGGCGTCGCTTAGCAATAGCCATGGCTTGTGCAGTGCTTGGTCGCCCACAGAGATTAACAAATTCGTAAGAAAATCAGTGTCGAAATTACCGATCGCGTGGAGCGGTGAGATTTGCTGCTGTCCAATGCCGCATCTCCAAAACTAGTCGACCTTTTGGGCTTTCTGTACTATAGAAATGTCAGAATTAACAAAATGGAGGCTGCGTTAGCTATAGTCAGTCCTGGACAAACGAACCCGATACCTCTGTCTAGCGAAAATCGGAACGACCGGCAGTTGGAGGCATAAAATCGGCGGAATTACGTAATGACCGGCCCTGTTACTTAACCACCAAGTTATACAATTAGGATGCGCAAGAGGAGGGGAGATCGTTTTCTGCAAAGATGAGGGAAGAGCCCAAACAAACCATTGAGCCTGTCATGACCGCTGGCTACAGTCCTGACGCATCATTCACTCGCGTCCCCACCAACAGTCACCAAGAAACGAGAAAGCATTCCGCATCGGGTCGGTGAGCTGAGTCACAGACTCCCCCCCCCCACCCCAAAAAAAGTAGAAGAGGTAGTTTGAATAGCAAACTTCGATACCCATAAGACCAACAAGTCTGGTCCTCCCACAAAACGAAACCGCCTACAGAATGACCTTAACATCAGTCTTCTTCATCTCTGGCGTTACCATGACAACGGCACGTAGCCAGTGGCTGCATCTCCTCAAACCGTCCCCGGAGTGGAGCTGTAGACGAACTCTGATAAGAAGGCTCAAGTAAATCTGAGAGAGGGAGGAATAATATGAGTGTTAAAAAAGAGGATGGAAAGTCGGAGAACGAGAACGGAGAAAAATAATAAAAGTCAGAAGGGGACGAAAAATAAGGGAAAATGAAGGGGGAGAAGGATAGGGGCGAAAACGGGAAAAAGACGGAAAGATGAATTTAGTGGGGGGCATTTTAGGGATCACGAGGATGATGATGATGATGATGATGATGATGATGATGACGATGATGATGATGATGATGATGATGATGATGATGATGATGATGATGATGATGATGATGATGATGATGATGATGATGATGATGATGATGATGATGATGATGATGATGATGATGATGATGATGATGATGATGATGATGATGATGATGATGATGATGATGATGACACTTCAAATGTCACAAGCGGCGACGTCCAACGCATGCCCAAAGAGTGGGCACGGCACTAGTAACTCGGACGTGGAGTAGTTTACAGCAAAGCAGGCTTGCAAAGCACATGTCACACACTATTCTCCCAAACCACCTTGCTCTAAAGAAAAGAATATCTCATTTGAATCCAACTTTTAAAAACTAGCCGCCTCGGTGGGATTCGAACCCACGACAGCAAGTGGAAGGCTTTGATATAGCCAACGGTCTAACCATCTGAGCTACGAGGCGCCACCGGAAGACGTGATTTTAATCACATTTGGGTCAAGCTGCTCACCCAGCCTACTGCAACGTATAGAGTCTCATTCAGTAATGGGACTACCCAAGCAGGATTTTCTAAGTAATCCATCTAGAATCCGCCAGATGAGAACCTGACTCACGTTATTAGCAGGCTTTTTGGTAGGTAATATCAACATGACCCGGGGCGGAATAGAAGAAGCAGAAACCAACAGAGAAAGAACTATTACTCCGAGGCTGCCGCCTAAACTCTGGCGAAGACACATAACATTTTGAAGTATTTCAGTCATATTTTTTTTCAAAACTGGTGATCGGTTTTTTCAGAATGTATGTGATGGCAAGGAAGAGTTCACGGGATCGCCGAGACCCGTCGTCTGTCGACAAATTCAGAGAAAGAAAAGGGTAGGACCAAGGTCACCTCCTCGGCATCAAACTCAGTGGCTTCTCCACCCCTCTCCCCCGGGGAGATGGGGAGGGGGGAAGACCTTCAGCTGCCCGAGAGCGTCTTGGCGGACCGACGGGGGGAGGAGGCGGCAGAGGAGGAGGACCTGTTGGAAGTCTTGCCGAGGTGGTTGTTTCGCTTGTGGTTCTCCAGGGAGCGAGCCTGACAGAACCCACGGTTGCAGAAGGGACATGCAAAGGGCTTCTGAATGAGGTGTGTGTAACTGGAAGATAGAAGGAACAATTGCAAATTACCTTTTGTGATTGCGGATGTTGGGAAAATGAGAACGATTGGGACAAGCGTGAACAGTCGCAAACAGTGGGTATATTATTAATATTATTATTATTATTATCATCATCATCATCAACAACAACAACAACAACAACAAGAAAGTACACATTCTTCCACATACACAAATAGGCTAGCTCGCTTTGCTGGCACCCATAGTTTATTCGAGAGTTATTGCGAAGTGCTTAACTAAGTTTTCCGCAGGTACCTTTCCACCAATAGCGTTGAGAGAATGATGCCGGAGATCGGTGAACAGCATCTCTCTGCTAGTCTATAAACTGTTGTGTCTTGTGGCCTATTATGTCAACGTTTTAGAAGCCTGCGCTCACAGGCGAAATTCCCCAACTGAGCTTTACTGGCATAACGGATGTAGGCGAACACAATCGAGATAATTTGTCCACTTGTGATCAGAGATGACTGAAACTTGATAGAGAGAGAAAAAAGATAAAGAGAAAAGGACACAGATGTAAAGACAGACAGGTGGGCGGAGTTTAATTAAACTGCCCCGGGCTAGGACGTGCTAAAAAGTGGGCATGGAAGCTGAATAACTCCATGTGCCTGACAACACTGCTCGTTGGTCCAATCAGAAAACGCACATTCTTCAGTACGTAGGGCCTTCAGTCCTTCAACAGCCCAAAAGTCACTCGACTTGTCTACTACCGAGGACAACTTGCAATTCCATCTGTATAAAACAAATTTACGACAGTATTTAGTCTGTTTTCCAAGCAGTTATATTGCACCAACGGAGAGTTCCTGCCTGAAAGTTGAAGCCAAGCCAATCTACTCTGTTTCCCTTGAAAATACTCATAGCTGTATGCGTCCTCAGATGGCAACCCATTGGTTAATTATTCTGAATGACTACAGGTCAGGGTGCTGCGCCCTGCTCTAACCTAGGCTGCTGGAATGCTACCCGAAGATGATTGGTAGACACAAAATCCTGTTACGAAGGTCGGTGCAGTTTCATCTTAGAGGATGTGGACACAAACACTCGTTTTGCTTCATTCACCCATGTGCTATACGTCAATGATTGGATCCGTTTGCCAATCAATCCGTAAGCTCCCTTCAACACACTTCGGAGATGCACCCAGACACAAACAATCCTTTCGCGATAATTGATCACCTTCACTACGTCTGTGTTTGACCCGTCTGACCCAAAGTGCCACCGGCGATTCCACTTCGACGGTCGCATCTAACGACAGCTCAGGAGCACTGCCACCTTGCCCCTCCCCCCGCCTACGAAACGGGCCCACTGCGTTGCGCATCTCCGGTGATCTGAGCTGGTCTCTCACCTGTGATCACGAAGGTGGTCCTTGCGTCGGAATCGGCGGGAGCAGACGGTGCAGCCGAAGGGTCGCTCGTCGGTGTGGGTGCGTTCGTGGATGGTGCGGTTGTAGGCCTTGGTGAAACCGCGACCGCAGTGGCTGCAGCAGTAGATGGCCGGTTTTCTGACCGTCATCGGACCAGAGAGGCGGTGGGAGACGCCAGTCTGGGCGGCCATCTTGAGGGGACTGAGACAGGAGGGTGCCGAGGCGGAGGAGAGGCGACCCAGCAGGAGGGATGAGGTGGAGGAGTAGAGGGAGTTGGGCGAACGATGTGAGCTCGAGTCCGCTGACCTGAAGGATGAAAAAAGGTGGCCATCTGATTGGTTGGTTGGCTGGTAGTTAGGATGAACAGTTATTGGGGGCGCGTGACGTCTTCCACTGTGTGCTCCACGGAGTGGACGCTGCACAGGTGGTTTGCACATAAACTAGTTCATAATGAGACAGGCTTGTGAAGCGTATACCTCACCAACCCTGTTCCACCGACACGACACTATCAAGCGAACCCGAGATGGGAGCGGCCGCAGTGGCAACGCGTCTACGCGTCCCAAACACACTCCAGGACGGAACGGGCCCTGCCATGGGTGAAAGTATCACTGCATTGAACTGTAGCTGGTGTCATACAGACCGCTAATGTTGCCGGAAATGATCGTTATTCATGCTGCTATGGTAGCCAGTTTGTAGTTCGCATTGTTCTGCCCCGATAATGTTAACTACTACTGCGAAATAACGACTTACGTTTTGAGGTAGGCCTTAGTGAACATATTATGCATATAGGCAGAATAGTATTACCGAAAAAGACAAGGGAGACTGGAATGGCCATTTCTGGCTTATTAGCCGTCGTCAGCCAGCCATACCCAAGCCCGAAGTGTGGAACACCCGAGCCTCGAACTCGCGACCTGTTGGTTTAAAAGTCCACGCCTTTAACCACCGGGCCACGAGCCCGTTGCCTTGTCGGTTTTCGATCGGGAATATACAATGGTAGGGGGCGCTCATCGATCGTTCATGCGGAACTCACTCGTTCCGTCGAAAACGACAAGGCAACGGCCTCCTGGTCCGGTGGGTAGAGGCGTGGACTTCTAAACCAACAGGTCGCGAGTTCGAGGCTCGGGTGTTCCACACTTCGGGCTTGGGTATGGCTGGCTGACGACGGCTAATAAGCCAGAAATGGCCATTCCAGTCTCCCTTGTCTTTGTCGGTCATACTATTCTGCCTATATATCATGCGCCGCTGTGGGGCTGCTGGTTGGGCTCAGGGAGAGAGAGCCCTTAAGGCACAACGGAACGAGTGAGTTCCGTATGAATGATCGGTTAGCGCCCCCTACCATATTATGCATATGTCTATTCAGCCCAATACGGTAATAGAGACGGAAGCACCCTCTGAAAGGACTAGAGCAGGTTGAACCCCCTGTGGAGTCCTCAGGATGCTCTAGCGGGCGCCATTATGCCACTCAAAGTCATTGCTATCTTGCATCTTGACCACACAGCACACTTTATGACCTCTTCCGAATAGGATTAAGTTATCAGTTACAGCATCAGATAATGTGACCATACGCTGACTTGTGCCGGTCTGTTAAAGGACCGTTGCTAAAGACCGGTATTCAAGCTGCTTTTCATGAGCCTAGCCAATAAACCTCGAAGCCCAAACCCATCGGACGCTTGGGGAAGGGGGGAGGTGCTCACTGGGTCAATTCGGGAAACTCACAGGCTGCTTCCGGAGGGCTGACCGCCCTGAGCGTTGTTGTGGCTCCACGCCCACGCAGCCTCCTCGGACTGGACGATCTCATTGGTCGGAAGGATCTTTGGTCCTAGCGGCATGAACTGGGGTCTACCTTCTACCACGGGACTTCTGTTTGCAGACATTAGACGCCAGAGTCGCACACAGGACAGCATGTAATAGAGTTGAAGGACTGCCGGGGGTGTTGTCGCTGTGAACAAGAGGGAACCAATAAAACAATATCAGGATGGGAGGGGAGGGGAAGCAAGGCAAAATAGGTGGTCGTTTCTGCCCTGCCTGATGTCATCAGCCAGCTGCGTCGAAACTGCAGAGTGGAGAGCAGGAGGTTTGAACTCGGGACCCAATTCGTCATTCAGTCATGGGCTCACGGCCTGTCAGGACTATTCAAGGCCCCATGAGAATGGCGTTCACCGATAGCCGTTTCGACTGAACTCCGGTTCCACTAAAATAACCTGAAGTGTCAGTTTTAGTCTTTGATAGCCTCCGGACTCTGAAGGGCTTAGCAAACAGAACCGAGATCTTGGCGGGCATCCCGGACGTGGGGGGGGGAGGGGGGGGAGCGAATAATGACCAATTTTTCTCCGCACATTGGCGCATGCAGAATATAATCTCAGGTTAATTCTTATCCCATAGTATGCACTTTTTTGTTAGGGGGTGTATTAGATGCTAGCATCGAACAGGCTCATTGAAGCCCCTATTAGCTGTCTTTACAGTTGACGGCCATTGTCAATATCTAACAAATAGTCAAAAAACGGCTTAATTATCTAGTCATTTCGTAGGAAATTGCGCATATTTCAGACCAGGAGGTCCTGAATTTTTAAATTTGTCGGACGTTGTCGTAATACAAACGAACACTAGGTGAAGAAATATTCAAAAATTTCTTTGGAACTCCAAAATGTGGCGTTGATTAGAAATAATTACTCATATGACTTTGTATTGCGAATTAGTCTGGCACTTGAACCATCGGCAAGCGTGTGGTTTTAAGGCTAGGGTTACTTAATCCGGGGAGCAACTGTGTTAGAAGAAAATAACTGGCGATATTTACTTGCACGTTCCAGAGAAAGAAATAAATGTACTTCGCGGTGGCTGTTAGGTAAGGGCGTTCAAGGTGTTTTAAGGCAGTTATCGGGGTAAAAATATGACATTGTAATAACTTTTTGACGATGCTTGCAAAGGAAAATTAAATTCACTTTTTATCGTCATTATTATTATTATTATCAATATCATCAGTTTTATTTTTACTATTAGACGGTAGAAATAATGTCTCCTATAAATTGGTGACAATGGGGGGGGGGATCAAGCTTTGTAATACTACAAAGTTCATAGATGTTCAGCTCTTTTGCTCAGCACAAATGCTCCTCGGGGTAAGTAACCCCCCCCCCCCCATAAATCATACCCTTGCCGAACCATCGTTATTGACGATGTCCACTGTGTGTGACCGATTAATGTGCAAATGTCATGCTACTTGAGTAGTCTACACAGAGACCCTAAATTTATTCCAAGTGTCGCATTGGCCAAACATGCATATTATCTGGAGCTTTCAGTGGTACGGCTGTATGTTACCTCCCCTAATAGTTTAGCTTAGATTTGCTAAAAGTCCACAAACAAGTGTTAGTTTATTCTGTTAATAACTACATCTGCCTAAACATTCATCAACATGGCGTTCCCAAATCAGGCCAAATGTAGAGATGCTATTTTTGTTCGAAATACACGAAGGGGAAAACCCCTCTGCTAAATATATGCCCAGTCAAGAGAAGTTGCAAAACCTTATAAGATCCCTGCTAGTTGGATTAATAAACCCGCTAGATACGAATGCACCAATCGGCTATTCGGAAAAAACCATTGGGAGGATGGTCATGAGACATATTAACCGAAATTCAGGTAGTCGGCGAAAAAAACCTCGGACGTTGTGAATTTTATTTTGTTAACCTAACGGGATGCAGGTGGAGACTTTTTGTCCCGCAAACCACGCGGTTAAGTTATTCTAGAGACGAAAAGTGGAACCTTTTAAAGTAAAAATTCACGTTCCTTAGGCGACTTCCAATACGACTGAGAGCGACCAGTGTCTCGACTGGGGAGCCCATGACAACTTCTGCGCCTGTGATATCCCCAATCAAAGAAAACCACACTCACTTCTATCAGCCGTATACCAAAAAAGTGATAAAAAACCATTCATAGATATTTTGGCAGATTTTGAATAATTAATATTGACCCAACTGTGATAAACTCGGCCGGAGTTGGGTCAGTTGGGTCAATATGAATTATTGAAAATCTGCCAAAATATATATGAATTACGTAAGCCTGGTAGTCATCTGACGAATTCTAGGTGAATTACTTAGGAAATCCTGCCTGGGCAGTCAATTTACAGCATCGGATTTGGTGGATTTCAAACGTCGCAGTAGGTTGGGTGGGTAACTTGACACCCAAATGCGATTAAACTCGCGCCGTCGTCCGGTGGGGCCTCGTAGCTCAAGTGGTTAGAGCGTTGGTTGTACTGACGCCTTCCCCTTACTGCGTGGATCCCACCGAGATGCCGAGTTTTTCACAGTTGGGTCAATATGAAATAAAGTCATTTGCAGAAACGACCCCAACATTAGGCTGTCGGACAATTGGATCATCACAAGCGAAGATGCCCACCGCGTGCCGAACGGAGTGGGCTCGACGTCGGTGGCTCGCGCATGAATCAGCTTACAGTGAGGAGGACTTGCGAAGCGTCTACCGCACTCTGCCCTCTCTCACTCACCTTGCTATGGTGGCAAGGCAATATTTATACGATCGGAGGTGTGCGTGAACGCAGTGTCGGACAAAGCTAGACAATCAATCTACGAGTGCCACACACACGATCTGGTCCCCACTTCAGATGTAACGTAATACAACAATGACGACTTGGACCTCACATGTGTGAGAGCACCATAAAAGGCCACTTCAGCCCGACTCTCAGCCGCGCAGTCATTCCGAAATACCCCCACGAGAACCAAACTTTCGCTCCGCCTTGCTGTCAAGTGCGCATACATTGTTACATAAAACTCGACACGCGGATTGTCAAAAGCGATTTCTCAAGCTTCCTCGCGTATACAGCGTTTCGCCCACCCTATAGTTTACACCAGCATGCATCACGTGTTTCCGCAATTTCAGCTGCACATTTCCGACATTTGCGATTTCTTGTTCCCCCCTCCCCTGCTACCGTTTACATGCGTTTTCATGCTCCCTTTTTAAAGTACGGTAGTTCCGCGGCAGGCAGAGAGAGAAACATACGCCCCCCCTAGCAAAAAGACACTAAAAAGACATCTTCTTACCGTTTTCATTTATGGGCGCCATTTGGACGCCAGGTAGGAGCTCAGTGAGCTCGGGATGGACCCCGCCAGATTCCTGCTTCACAGGCCGGCGTTCCTCCTTCGTTGCAGCCATTGTCTCCGCGGAGGTTGTGGGTGTGACGGAATCGCCGAGGTTCAGCTGTTGAAGAGCATGTCTAGCGGTTGGAGAATGAGCAGGTAGGTCCTCATTCCCCTCAACCTCCCCGTTCGTCGTCCCCGAACACTTCCCACCGGTCTCATCTCGTGGCGTTGAGGTGCTGAGAAAACTCAAATCCAACGGCAGGTCCTCCGTCATGGAGTCGAAGGCCGCACTTGCATTCATTGGCAGTTGACTGTGTGGGTGAAAAGGCAGTAGGAACGACATGCTTAGTGGCTGGGGAATTGGGTCATAAGTCACCGGAGCAGAGATTTTGTGCGGCGCCGTGGATGTGAAATGATACTCGCACGCATACTGACCTTCCATCGCATTCACCGCCCGTCAGGCAAGGATGCCGCCCCACAAATACTCCATCTCGCCCGTACGGTACGCAGAGTATGCACAACCCGCCCAGGTGATCACGAGTCGGTCACATCAAAAGGGCTGGCAAGACCACGCTGACGCGGTCATTGGTTGCACCTGTCGAATGTTGGTTTCCTTAGGCCTACCACAGCGCGTACCGGAGGGGGGGGGGGAAGGTGATAAGACTTCTGGTGATGCGCTGGGGGCAGCTCACCGTGCAAGACCAATCAATAACTTCCACTCTGGGATCATGCCGTGAGAGGGAAATCGATACTGGAGTGCACGGCAAGGCCTGACGCGAGTAATAAGTGTTATCATCAGGGGGGTGCAGTCCCCTACAGCAGACAGAATGAAAGGCTCACTGCGCTGCCTGTCAACGTTTACGAAAAAAAAAACTTCAGCATAAATCGAAGCGATAAGAGTCGGTGATAACCACGTGAGGACTGGGCTTCCTTTGTCGATCACATCATTCTCTGGAAAGGCACCTTGTACGAGTACCAGCGACATCTAACTTGATCGTAGTCATGGATTGACCTTCCACTGTTGAATATACTCGTTAAAATCGTTCTACATCTGGGGGCTGGAGACTGTTGAACCTCAGAAGATGAAGATGCGATCACCAGAACAAGAACCTGAACCTGTTGATTTTCGTTGGCTCCGAGACGCATTTCCCAAGCTCCAGTGATAGGTCGGCAGAAAATTGCCATTCTTGGCGTCCACCCCACCCCACCCCCTCCCACATCCTTTACTGAGCAGCGATGTCAATACGCGATTGGTTAAGCGCTTTCTTTTAAGTAACACTGAGTAAAGCGATGGGATTCACCAAACACGTCTTCGAGAAGAAAAGCTCCTTTAGGAGCAAGCTAATTGCTGCGCCGCGATGCTCCAATAAAACTTCGTTCACCTCCAAACCGACCAATCAGCGAGTTCAAGCAATCTGTAGGGAACCGTCCCAGCGGCCTGTGCCTACTCCCGAAAAATCGGTATCTGATTGTAATCTATTCTACCGTTGATTTTCATTGCTTACACAAAGAACCCTTCTCGTATTCGTTCTGTGCGACTTACTAGAATTCTGCCCTATGGGAAAAGACAAGTAACCTGGCATTCAAATGTCTTTAAACCCACATGCGCGCCACTGTTCCAGATGTCAGGATGGTGAGTATTTATTTAGACTGCGTAGTTTGGAAACTGAAATTGTGCGAAATGTCATGACTTTCGATACTAGAACACTCCACCGAGCGTTTGAATCATACGCTCCACCAATCAGACCGAAAGTCCATCTCCTGTTGGGTGCTATCAGAAATACCTATCGGCCTGCGCACTTTTAGTGGACGCCCTCGATTGGAGGTCAGGACAAAAGGAAACAAGCACGGAGCAGTCGAATCGGTTATGTGCCATTCCCACGCACACAAGTGCTTATTGGTAATCAGAAGAATTTCGGCTTTGCCCAGTCTGATCGGGGGATCTGCGGGTCACTCGACTGCCTCGCTGATTCTGCTAGATTTTGACTGAAATATTAAAAACTACGTTCGCACCGAGCCTGCTAGTGTTTGTGCCGAGGAATTTACTCCATAGTCATGCATTAAAAAGCTGAAATGTCAAACCAGGAAGTGCGTGGGGAAGTTGAGGGACCCATTGATGGGTCGCATCCCTGCCAACTGAGCAATACAGTGGCACAAGATAGGCGAAACACGTGTCTAGGTTCTCACCTAGTATCTGCCTCATAATTATGGTAAAATCTTGCAACAGACGCATACTACTGACTGTCTGTTGACAGTTTATGAATATTACGCGGATATCCCGCCGTAGCTGGCGGATAGTGGCTCGCGTATTCATGTCATCTTTGGGGCCGGGCCTATAAATCTTCGCTCCGAGTGACTTACTCCAAGTTAGCGAGGACAGTTTACTACTAACTGCCGGTAATGCCACTCTGCCCATATCATGCGCCGCTGTGCGGCTGCTGGTTGGGCTCGAGAGAGAGCCCATAAGGCACAACAGAACGAGTGAGTTCCGTATGAACGATCGGTGAGCGCTCCCTACCATTCTATATTCCCGATTAAAACCGACAGGGCAACGGGCTCGTGGTCCGATGGGTAGAGGCGTGGACTTCTAAACCAACAGGTCGCGAGTTCGAGCCTCAGGTGTTCCACACTTCGGGGTTGGGTATGACTGGCTGACGACGGCTAATAAGCCAGAAATGGCCATTCCAGTCTCCCTTGTCTTTGTCTGTAATACCATACTGCCTATATCATGCGCTGCTGTGCGGCTGCTAGTTGGGCTCGAGAGAGAGAGAGCCCATGAGGCACAACGGGACGAGTGAGTTCCGTAAGAACGATCGGTGAGCGCCCCCTACCACTACTAACTGTGTTAGTGGCAGGGTGAGATAGTTTGATCTGCGAACACGCGCAGTACTTGACTAAGCTCAGGAATGTAGGTGCGTCGATCTATTGGCTTCCTGAAGTAAACAGGCTCCGTATGCGTGGCAAAGGTCACGAACAGGCGATCAACTGCCAGACCGAAGTCGAGGGCAAGTATAACTGCCCAATCTACCGCGACAGGGAATGGCGGGTGGTGAGGCACTGATAAAATTCGGTTCGATGAAGTGTTTATGGCCCATCTGCTAGAGCCCGTCTGTTGACCATCTGCGCCGTGTACGTGTAAGGATGGACTAGATCACTCCGGACAGGAGCCTTTTCAGCCACTGAAATGAACACCTGTTTAGTCAGCTGGATTTTCAGTAATTTTCCATGCCTGTATATATTCCGTAGAAAGTATGAGTGCAAAAATCTCTATACCCTTCTCCAAATTTAGTACTTGGAGAAAAAGTGCCAAGCAAGCTCAGAAAATTGGTATTTAGGGCAAATTTTAGCAAGATAAACTAGTAGATTCAAGTAGAGGGTCATATGTATAGTTTTTTAAAGGTTCCCCATGGACTATTCGGCCGGTTCCACATCCAGAAGATTTTATCAAACGTAGACAGGGCCATTTGGGCGCCCGTTTCTGGCTTATTTGCTGCCATCGGTCAATGAAACCTTAATCCCTGTGGTGGAGGGGCGCTCACCGATCGTTCTTACGGAACTCACTCGTTCCGTTGTGTCTTACAGGCTCTCTCTCGAGCCCGACCAACAGCCGCACAGCGGCGCATGATATAGGCAGAATGGCATTACCGACAAAGACAAGGGAGACTGGAATGGTCACTTTTGGCTTATTAGCCGTCGGGAGAGAGAGAGAGAGAGAGAGAGAGAGAGAGAGAGAGAGAGAGAGAGAGAGCACGTAAGGCACAATGGAACGAGTGAGTTCCGCAAGAAGGATCGGTAAGCGCCCCCTCTACCATTGTATATTCCCGACCGAAACCGACAGGACAACGAGCCCGTGGCCATTTCTGGCTCCCTTATCTTTGTCGGTAATAACATTCTGCTTAATCACTGTCTTCGCATCCAAAATTCCACCTACTGTTGGTTTCTAGTCGTCACGTGACCGCCTAGGCGGGTTGTAGACCAAAAGCTTCAAGGCAGAACGGAAAGCATGGGCTTCCGTCGCGCGGCCAGCATAGATCGATCACGTCACTGGTATTGGATTGAGCCCTTCCAACTGCAAAATTTTGTGAGAACTAGCACTGCTCCTCCTCATAGCACTAATTGATGACAAAGTTTCGACCTTAGTTTTTTTTTCCAGAAAAGCAACCACCGGATTCGTCTGCGTATGACTGGTCGAGGGTTAAAGGTCAGTTGACGTGAACGGGACAGCATACATAGTAATATCAATAATAATAATTATAATTATAACGGTTATCATCTTAAGAACAATCAGTGTAACGGCAGTTGAGTCAAGTTATTAACAGAAGAGCCCTACCCGGTTGGATCCGCGGTCTCCATAAGCATAGCTCGAGGCAGATGTGGGCGTCGGGCAAATTGTACTTCCACCAGTTGAGCATCGGTCTTTAAAGGGGAAGAAGATGTGGCATCGGTGTGTCAGTGCGTGCGTGCGTGCGTGCGTCTGGGACTGTGTGCTAGCGTAGGCGTGTGTGCACACACACATGCACCCCGGGTGCAGGCTGCGTGCTTGGGCGTGCGAGTGCCGGCTAAGGGGATATGTTAATCAACACTGCTGTGCCCCACAGAGCCTCCCCAGTGCCCTTAAGGTGACGTCGATCGCGCGAGCAGATGGCACCCACTGGGCCGCTCCCTGACACCTGCTCATCTCCGCTTGATGCACCTGTCGGACTGGCGTGAGATCCTCTGCCGACCACCCCCCCCCCCCGCCTCACAGAGGCACCGGTAATCACGCAC